CCCGCCCAAACAGCAACAAAAAAAAGCGCCCACCCGCCCTTCCCCCACCCCCCAAAAAAAACACGCTCGGAAGGGGCGGGGGCGTGTTATTTTTTGCTGTTTGGCCCCTGCCCAAACAGCAAAAAAAAGAAACACGCCCCGGCCCAAGCAGGAAAAAAAATAACACCCGAAAAGCCCAAACAACAAAAAAGACCAGACAACAAAAAATAAACACGCTTACCTAATAACGACTATAGTACTTGGGGTCTATATTGGGGTCCCCTATTTGGGGAAACTAGCCATAGGCCATAGGCCATAGCCTCTTGGAACATTGCCACTATGGGCATCGAAAGACTTAGGAACTAAAATTAATTCACATGTTTTCTTCCGAATAGCAGTGTTCTGTGTTCCTTTCGTACGTTATTATGAAAGCTCTCTTCCTCTTTGTTTGAGAGGGCAACTCTGAAGATCACTTGTCGTGTTCTTACGTGATGTTCTACGATTCTTCTTCTTCCTGTGAAAAATCTTGAAGTTCATCACCGTAATCATCATCATCAGCAGCAGCACCGCGATGATTTTTTTGCATTGCCATTATGTGTATGTGTGATGCCCTTAATCCCTAATCCCTAACCTTATCATTCCTCATCATCCCTAAGCCTTAATGGCTATGACCCAATCCTTATCCCTCAGCCAAGACTAACTCCCCAGGCTGGATTCCAGCAACACATTCCTGGACACGGCCAGCATACATCTCCACGTCCCCGAGGGTGCCACGCCGAAGGCTGGGACCGTATAAGGGTTGAGGACGTAAGGTTTTAGGGCTCGAAGTCACGCCAAGCATGCCGATGCCAAGCTTAATTACAAGGTTTGTAAAGCGTAGCCGAAATTCTTCAGAAGAGGGTTGTGGGATGTTGTGGGACCAAGACGGGTTTTCTTCGAAAAGACAGACAGACTTTCCCCAAACTTCGAAAAAATGTTAAGATTTCCTTGCCAACTGCAAGCAGCCCAAGCGTCTCCGAGGCCAGGATTCAGAACCAATGAAAGGAAAGTACCGGGCTCACAGCGCATGATGATGGGATTCACACCGGTCGAAACTCGGTTTTCCGAAGTAGTTCAAGTTCCTTAACAGCAACCCAGTAAAAGCAGCTTCGTGAGCATAACACGCATCCTCGCATTCCGGCTTCCATCGGAGGCCCTCAATGGGCGGGCGTTCTAATCTTCAGAGATCCTCCGCATAATCCGTATTTAGTCATTGTAGGGCCCTAGGATATACTTGTTTTGACGCGCAGTCAACCAACCAGGATGGCCCCTCGGCTGGGGTGACAATGACCAGTGCCCTGATCAGCAGCGCTTTCAATGCAGCCCTTTTGGCCCAACACCCAGCTAATTGCAGGGGTTTATTCGGGCTCATTACATACGAGCAATGCTTCAGTGCTTAGCGCGTGCGGTGGAATGAATGTTTCTCAAGAGGAGTCAGCACGACAATGTGTTGATTCGAGAGGCTGTGTATGCCCTCTGGGCTTTTATGTTGCTTTTTTGACGCTTACTTGGGAAATTTGCTGGCAAGGTCTATATTACCTAGTACATATGCTCTGTTTACATAATTACCATCTGAAGCCACATGAGGGTGCTCAGGGGCAAAATTTGCATTTGCAGCTGCTGAAAGGTCGAAGGCCCTGCTCCAGGGTCGCATGTGCAGCCCTTCCAAGAAAGATCCTGCCGTAAGAGGGTCTCCATAGCTTCCATACGGCCCTCATGTTTGCGAATACGTGCATACTGTTCTGCTATTTACTCGTATGACTCTTTCTTTTGTTGCTGCAATTTCTCCTTGACGCCTAGTTTTACTTGCTCTGACTCAGGATGATGTCGCCATGACGGGCGAATTGACATTGATGGGTAAGGCAGGCTCCTGTCGCCTCATGAGGTCTCTTGATCCCGGTACTCGTGAGCATTGTGAGCATGCAGACCCCGTCAATCTCGCGAAGCACTGCATGACACAGCGTTGTGACCTGCGAGCTGCAAAGTTACAATCGCAGGTTCTGAAGGTGGGCGGAATCAAAGAGAAGGCCGGCCATCATTGTTTTTTGGCACTACGATGAATCAGTGAACGGGTTTTGGCCTCCACTTTTGCCGCTCAAGCCTTTTCCTGAGTTGTTTTTTGGGGTTCTTGTAATTTGGATTGCAATTTCCAAGCGGCATCCGAGGTGACGAAGGGACCATTGTTTTGAAAAGGCCTGCGTGTCGAACGCTTTTTTCAAAGGTGCAGCTTACGACCGCTGAGCAGGCATAGCCTGTGTAGCATCCCAGCGTGCTTCTTGAACAAGAATGCGTAGATCAACCTGATACTTGAACAGCAGCTCCTACTTGTTGATGCTCCCCGATTCTGATCAACCTAGAAGTGCTCAAAGATCTAGAGGCCTCTCAAAACAACCCGAAACCACCAAAATCCTCAGAGTCTGGTGCGAGGTCATAGCGGCACGGCGCGAGGGAGTGAAAACTCTCCTGCTCCCGCGACAGAACGAGGCCACCCGAGTTTAGGGTTGAAGGTTGGGGTAGTGTTTTTGGGACATGGAGTGCTCCTGAACTCTTGAGTGCTCTTGAGTGTTGTGAAGGTATTCTTAAAGTGCTCTGGGGACGGGTCTTAGAATTTCAAGTAGCCTAAGGTGTTTGTGAAACGCATTGGGAATGAGCTGCACGTTCGTTGTTGCTCGGATTGGTTGGGACTATGCGGGTAGCTGGGAATTATCACAGACGGTTTAGCGTTTAGGGTTTGGGGTTCAACTTTTGCAGGGATTGCATTTGGAATTGTAGGGGTTGTGAAGCAGAGTTTGTAAGGCTCTGCAGGGATGAGTTTTGCATGTGTCGTAGGAACTGCGAAGGATAGGAGGACCGAGAAGCGGTTCAGACTTTGGGCAGGAGCAAAGAGTACACGCCGCCATGAATTCTAGTGGTAGTTTGGTTTCATTGATCCGACCAAGTCACTGAACCACGATGACTCAGGCCTGTCGGAGTGTCTTACTTCATGGATCCTCATGTGAGATAGTGGGGCTTTGGTAGACATTTGGAGGGCACTTCGGAGGTTGCATGCCATAACTCCCAAGAAATATGCTACTTGTAGGTTTTGTCGGAGGAGATCTAAAAGCCGAGCGGCCTCATTCCTTCTGATCGCCATGCCCAGAGGATCCCAAAGTAAGTCAAATTTCTTTCGCCAACACCGCATCCTGCAACCGGCGGCTCCCCGGCTGAACAAAATCATAGGTTGCATGTCTAGGTGGGACGTTCTCGAGCGCTGTTTTGGGAGGAGTGATGTTACGGGGACGGGGCACGCATCAATGTCTAATGACTCATGACCTTACCGCTCCGGCACCCTAACATCGCAGGGATACATTTCACTGTTCCAAAACTCTCATGCTGATTATTCACCGTGAACATCACCCTGACTTTGCTGAAAGGCCGACTTCATGGAGCTCAAAGAGTACCTGCGTGCGTGGACTCAGTTTGCCAGGGCTCGGTCTTGCTGATGCTTCACCTGGAAGGGGGTATGTATCATAGCAATCAAGCTTGGAGACGATCTGGGAAACTGGCGTGGTAGCCATGATCCGAGGATGTCAAAAAATGGGTTTGCCAGCCCTGAAGAAAAAGCCGATGCCACGTAACAGTAGGGGTGTGAGCGGGATATTCCACTGCGTGCTCGTGTTGTTTGTTTTATGCTTATGGTGATGGCTTTGCCGCCGCCTCCGCCACTGCCACCGCCGCCACCACCGCCACCACCGCCACCGCCACCGCCACCGCTGCCGCCACCGCTGCCGCCGCCGCCACCACCACCACCACCGCCGCCGCCACCGCCACCACCACTGCCAGAACCTGTGCTGACAAGGTGCAGGCCTCACAGCGCATTTCGTGGACCATTACGATGTGCCCCTGGCCTGTTGCAAAAGTGAATGTTGTGGGGGGGGGGGGTGGTGGCGGTCAAGATTTTGGGAGGTTTCCGAATCTTACGGGTCCATTCTGGGAGTCCCTTGAAGAATGATTACATAATCTCATTGTAACAGGGCTTAGGATGGCGCAAAGAGCAAGTCTGAGGCCATCAGCTTCTAAAGACACCTCAGAAATCATCTGGTTTGCAGAACTTGGGCGCCTAATTGTTCCCCTGGTCCGGCAACAATTTCAAGCTCTGTAGTGACCGAAGAGGACTCGCCAGACGCGCATGTTCCAGGAAGCATTCCATACCCATACTTTCAGGCCTCTCCAGACTTGCAGCTTGCGTCAGGACGTCTACAGGTTGGCCTTCGACCAGTCAAAGGTGCAGTGCTGCTCTTGCTGGTGGCACCTCTCTATTCAAAGACTCTTGTTGCTGTCGTGATGCCTATAGTCTTATATTTCGTTGTGACTATCATTGCCTTCGCCACCGTCACTGCCTCCTGGCTTTCATCTGTATCCTAGCATGCACTACCTGAAGTCCTCTACCCTAAACGGTGTTTGAGAACACGGGCGTTGGGTCAAATCCCCACACACCACCCCAATCCCGAACCTGCATATAGGTTTCAAGGTTTAGGGGCGTAGGGTTTAGGATTTCAGGTTTTAGGGCTTTCTGTCCACACAATATAGCAGGGTCCACTCTTTCCAACAAGCCCCAACCTCCAAAAATTAGGACCTTACTGTATCCCATGTTAGTCCTGGGATACTCATAGGGCCCTCATTATGGGGCCTTGGGGCAGCCACAATCCATGCAATCCCACAAACCCCTTCATAACCCAGCTTCCATTTTGTCTTCGATCTTGCATGTGATTCTCATTATTTTTTGAGAAGCTTCAGATAAAGCTTTGATCCCCCAGCTCAGGCTCCGGAACCTGATAACGCCTTGATTAATGTGGGGAGCTCTTCAAGACAGGCTTGATCCCGATGCTACGGCACTTCCAATTAGGTTGATAGTCTGAAGAAGAATCCCAGATGGGAGAGCGTGACGAAACAAGCCTAGCTATGTCCACGTATTACTTTTACAGTCAAACACGACAAGCCAATGAATCTTTCAATCACAATGGCTTAAATCTTTGCAGTGCTACAGCAGCGATGGGGCTACTTATCTAGCGTTGCAAAACACAGGCCCGTATCGCGTTTTTTTGTGAACGTGTACTTCCATCGTTGTCACGGGCATGAACACCCCTTTCCGGCCTTTCGGGACTTCTTGTAGGTACTCTAGGAACTCCTGCAGATCCCTCATTTGATGGACAAGTGGGGGTTGAAGGTGACGGGAAGCTCTTGTACCTCTCACGCTTTCCACGCTTTGACCCCCATGATCTGCACAGTAAAGGGTTCTAGCACATCTTAGCTCGGAGCTTTATGGGCAACTAGAACCATAAGTGGTTTGCAAGTAGTTAGCTATGCACCATATCTAGCCCTATCCAGCCCTAAACCATGCCCACGAGCCCCCCAAGTGCTTTGCAGCAGGTCCCCTCTCTGCCCTGGCCTTCACGCGGGCTGCCAGTAATTACGGCCCTGGACCCAGCCGAAGCAGCAGTAGACATGAAGAGTGTACTTCGAGGATTTAGTAAGTAGGTTAATGATGCGGATTGGGACTACTACGCGGCCCATATGGCATACGGGTCGAAAGTAGACTCAAAGACCACCTGACCCTCGAAGCCACGACCAAAAGCCGCAGGATCAAGGACGATTCCGAAACATGTAGTGGCGCCTCTTCAGCATATGTTGAGGGCAGTGAAGAAGCCTCGGACTGATATGTCTGTTTGATTCCACCCTTGTGTGTTTGTGCTCCACTGACTTCAGCGTTTACCTGGGCTTCAAATAACTTCAATACATATGGGCTGATGGTGCATGACTCTGATTCTGCCTGGTAGGTTGAGGCCGAGTTGTGCGGCATCCATGCCAATTGCGCTCTCTTCTGGCTCAAGGAGTTTTTGCTTCAAGAGACGGCAATTTGCACTTCTGTCGTACTTCCAGGGACCACAGATCCGTGCAAACAGTCACAGATACCCAGCAAACGCCTTGAACGACTTACTGTCACAGTGGTGGGTCCTTCGAAAGACTAAACCAGACTTCCACTTGGAAAAGTGCCATTCAACACCTGAAGCTGTACTGGGAGCTTCCATACAGCACATCGTATAATTATTCTGGCCCAAATGGGAGTTGGGCGCCCTGGGTTACGCGTTCATGCCTACAAGATGCCATGATGCTGCACGTTTGGCAGGCTTCAGGGGAACTCCTGGAGGCCATAGCCCTGGAGGAGCTGAGTGATGTGCAAAGTTTGAAGCAGCGCCTTCAGAAGAAATGTGGGAAGCCACGCTTCAGACAGCGCCTTATTCATGACGGCTCCTCGCTCTACAGCCTTGCAAAAGACTTTCTGTGTTGCATGCTGTACTGCTTAAGCAGAACAAGACGCATAAGTTCGGATGCGTATCTCCAAAAACAGGGGTCCCCAGGCTACCCCAATAGATGACAGTCCTTACAGTAACGGTTCACAGAATCACAGCCTTCTGCTCAACTTAGCTGGGAGTTTCGCTTGATTGGGGGACCTTACCCATCTCGTATCCCGAGATTGATATCTGGGGTTTGCCATTCGGTCCGCTTGCTGCGAAACCTCTAGCTCTAGGTTCTGTCTTGGCAGATGATGAAAAGCTGGACTCATCAATGGACGTGCAGTTAATCCTACAGCCGTGGGTTGTCCCCACATCGGAGCAAAAGCAAGAACTGATAACGGCCTGCGTGCTTGGTAAGGATGCTGTGTCCTCAAGCAGTCTCTGCTTTCCCGCTTTTTTGGTCTCTGTGTGTGTGTGTGTAAAGGATGTACTCAACTAGTTACACGCCGTGCGGCACCAGATGTGCTCTGCTACTTTTGTGATGCGGTCTCCTTTGAGAGCCAAGGAAAGGCAAGTTGAGGAGCTACTTCAACTTCCAATGGATCCAAACTATCAGCTTTTCTATGCAGGTACACTGCAGTCTCCGCTGGGAGAAGCAGCTAAAAGGGGCTTGTTGGAGATTGTACAGACCTTGGTGGAAGCCGGCGCGCGGAGCCAAGGCTCTGAGACCCTCACATCTCTGGCAGAGATGGCTTTCTCAACGGACCGGACTTTCACTCCAGAAAGGCTTGAGATTGTAAGCTTGCTCTGGCAAACCAATGAAGAAGCCATAAAAATGCGTGACCTGCTTGCAGGGCTATCTTTGCGCGTTCCTTTAAGTGCTGATGGCATGCAGATGTTGCACTTCGCAGCGCAGCTTTGTTTGAAGGCAGGCAGAGCTGAATTCTACCCAGCATTGCTTTCTGTGGCGATTGCCAAGCGGCATGTTAATACAGTTAGGCACCTCCTGGACGCTGGTGTGGATGCAAACTGCACGGATTTGGATGGCAAGCCACAACTTCTGGCAGCAGCTGAATTGGGACATCTCGAGATCGTGCGTCTCCTGCTGCAGGCCGGGGCTAGCAAGAACTTGAGCGGGACCGCTGGAGACCTCACGCCTTTGGCGCTAGCACGCGAGAAAGGCTACGAAGAGATTGTGCGTTTGTTGGCCGAGGACGATCTCGGGGACCAGAGGCCCTAAGCTTGCGATGCAAAAGCAGGGCAATTGCATTCGAGCAAACATGAAGTTCACTGAATAGCATTTCAGGGCAACTGTGTCAGCATCCCGAGGGCATATGCCCATCTTGAGAAACTCCCAAATTCAGCTTGGACCGGAGGGTTTAGAGTTTGGGGCTTCCGGCTCCAGGAAGCATGAAGTATGTCGACATGTGAGTTCCTCGGATGTGAGATCTCTCTGTATGCCTGCGACAATAGTAGTCCCGGAGACATATCACAAGGGCCTTTGGCCTAGGATGTCCCCTGAGTCAGTATGGGAGGAGGTCCTGTATAGGTCTCCCCCATTCTGGGAACAGTGCTATTTTGGCAACTTTCATCAAGCCTTAACCGGTCCTAAGCTGCGAAGCTTGTGGATCGGGGAAGCACATGTCAATTTTCGGCTCCGGCACCCAGTAGCCGTTCTACTTCATAGCTCCCTTCGCTCCGCAGGACACATTCTGCACGTGTAGCCAACTGTCCTGATGCGGACGATAGAATCTCCAGAAGATGAGCAAGGGAATGGTTCTCTGGGTATCATGTAACCATAGATGATGGCTCAGGTCGTCACTCCGGAAGCAGTGGTCGCCGAGCAGGTGAATTTCGCCCAGCTTTGACTCCCTGGATTAGCGTGCAATATATCATAGTCTCGTATTTCAAAATCAGCGTTTTAGGATGTTTTAGGGCTCTTCAAATGCCATCCTACACTCCTTGCGGTCCCAGCAAGAGATCCCGTTGCTTTCGATGACGGCGTTTTGTGGCAAAACAACCTGTTGAATCGTTGAATCGGTCAGTGTACCACTAAACACTTGCACCCCCAACCTTGCAAAGCAGGTAGCTCCCAAGCCCACGAAAACCTGAACTCCTGTGTCCTGAGCTGTGAACCTTGAGATCCTATTTCCGTAACATCCTAATCTGTCTAATCGGAAATCTTCAACCACAAGCCGGCGCTCTCCATTGCCCCGCTGCTCACTATTTGTTCAGCGCTGTGGTCGTCAGAGGAAATCTTGCCCACTTAGGATCCCCGACATGACAGAATTCTAGAGAGTAGGACGCACAGTGCAAGATTACCTCCATCCGCAGTAGGCCCTATTCCGGGCTCCCCAGGCTTTATGATACAGGAAGGTCCCTAAGATTATGCCTCAGATTCCTCATTTCATTCTTTTTCGCCACAAGCCCCTGACCGTGAATCTCTACGAAGCCCCAACAAATAACAACTTAGCACCAAAGAAGATGGGGAGACAAGCTGTGGATCCTAGAGAATATGACCTTCCCTGCGGTTGGCACAGGTGGAGGCACCCTCGCCAGACGCGGATGCTCCGGCTGGTGAAGGCTGAGACTCTCCTGAGACCATATCCATTAGGAATGACCACTGCCGGGAAGATCCGGAAGCTTCTGGGATTCTGCAGAGAACACGTCGGATTCAATCAGCGGTGAAGACTTGAATCCGCTTGGCTTTTGCACGTTCATGCTGGTTTCTCAAAAGATGGTTGGTGCATTGAGCTCAGAGTCTTTGAGGGGATTACGCAGGAATCGCATGAAATCTTCTCAATTTTGCGGGCTGCATTTGGCAACTTTTGTGCCTTCCGCTTGCTCCAGGGCTGCTGCTGAAGTTGCCAGATAGGGTCTCATTGAAAACCATCCAAAGGGTGTTCATGCCGCTTGAATCAGTAGAAGTTCTGCTTGGAGGTAGTAATCCTGATATCGTCCTATGCGCCGAAGCTCCATGTTGGGCCTACTTGGGTTCACTGGAGATTAGCTGGCCAGTCACTACGTATAGCTGTAAGGTAGCAACGCAGCCTTTATGATCTAGCCACCGACTTCCCAGGCTATCTAAGCACCAAGCCCCAAGTCCAAAGCTCTCAATCCTGCACACTGAGGCCAAATTAACCCCCTAAACCTCTGCACCCAAAACGTTGAACCTGCACTTTTCCGAACCAGGTCAGTCGCACCCGATGTCCCAGCCCCTACCGGCAGGCCTTTGCACGGGTGATCTAGGCCTTAGAATTCAGAATGAGAGGTCCAGGGTTCAGGGTTGATTTGGGGTACTCTTGACAGCTGGTTTTTCAGATGAGAGAGACGGAGCTTAAAGGCATAGTTGCACTGAACGACTTTCCAAGCTGAATGGGATGTGGTTTGAGTTCGGGGCTGTAAGTGAGCGGCAGTTTCCGTCCGTCCTCCGGCAAGTAGATGCGTTCGTGTGTTCGGCGCATCATTGTTTTTTTAGGGTAGCATGCTTGACGTCGCTTGGCTATGGCGCGCCCACAGAATGTTTCAGCTGCTTCGGCCTATTCCCCATGTTACGCAGACCCCGAACCCTGACGCCGAAAGTCCCAAACATCTCTAGACCTGCTTTTTCCTGGAGGCATCAATCCACAGCCCAGCCAAGCCCCTATGGGGGCGTTGGCGTGGTCCACCTCAGGCCATGGCTAATTTGGAGGATTTGATGGGCTTTGCGTGGCGATCCATACGGGTTGCTGTAGAAAGTATGTTGCAGGGTGAGAGGGTTCTATGCCGTTCTTAGCCCACAGCCTGCCACGCGCACAGGTGCGAGCTGCAAAGGGCTACGACTACATAAACCTTGCTGCGTCTAGGTGATTGGATCTAGGCTAATTCAAGTCTTATGCCTCAGGCCTTTGCTGGGTCTACAGCTCCAAGTGTTGAACCCAAAGAATAATCCCTAAACCCAAGACTGTTTAAAAGACCGCCAGCAGATCAAGTTGACAATGCCTATGCCAACCTGATCCCAGATCCGTACAACTGCACATCGTAAACACAGCCGGGTAGGGCCTGCAGCTAATCTCCTTCATGTGCAAGGCGGTTTTTGGGAGGTCAGCTTAGAACCTTGCCCCAAAACAAACATGGAGCCTGGAAAGGGGCCCTACAGCGACTTCGGGCCTTTTAGGAAGGGGCTGTCCCCTAAATCTTAAACCCAAACCCATAACCCCAAACTTGCTTTCGCAAGGCATGCAATGACCATTGTTGAGTGGTGACCCGCTGAAGTCGGACGGCGTGCTGGGGACTCTCTCAAGCTGAACGCCCCTAACCCTACATCCCAAACCCAGTAATGCATCGGGAAGGTACTTCTCAGGATGGTGGCTATTCAGGCTGTGCACTGCGTTGGGAACGTTCCTATCAAGCGGACAGTTTGGGATCAGATGAGTTTTCTCCAATACCGCCTGAAGAGCACCATTTTGACTGAAGTTGACCCCTAAAATCAAATGATTGATCATTGTGAGGAACGCCTAGACTGCAAGACGGGGGCTGACGAATGGGTTCTAGCCGCAATCCTTAACAAGTTCTCACTCAGACTGACCAGCTTTGGTCAACAAGATGAAGAGCAGACGCCATAGGACAGCACGACTACCCACATTTTGGGAGAAGCTCCGGCGAACCTGCACCTTCTGTTTTAATCAAGAGGTGGCAGGAGACGCGCGACAGCTGCAGAACAAACGGGCTGCCCTCCAGTGCACACTAGTTTTTTTGAGTGCAGAGATCTTTCCTGTGCCAGCCTGCGTATTAAGATTGTGTGTTCGAGCCCCTGAATGCTTTTGATGTCTAGGATGCTTCTGGAAAGACAATCTCCGTGCTGGGTGAGGCAGCACTGAACGATGGTCTAGCTCTGGGCAACTAAGTCTTGATGCGATTCTTGGAGTAACTAGAGCAGCGCGCCACAAAACTTAGCACTGAGCCAGAAAAGTCCATGGTGTGGCTGGTGCCGCCTGACCTCGTCCTCATGTCAAAGTTGACGGAAGCCGTGGAGACCCGCACATTTACCCGGCAAAGGATCGGCTCCCACACAGAGGGGCGAGATGCAGCTGAGACATCCCATCTGCAACTCATGATGCAGGTGGCAGACTTTCTCAAAATCAGTGTCTGTGAAGGCGTGTTTCGCCAAAGACAGCATTTGTGCGCGAGGTCCCTGATTTTGAGAAAGACCCCAGCAGAAAGCAACGTATAGAGCATGGCATGTACAAAGCTTCAGCCCTGCACTCCCGCGAGCTGATAGACCCATCACGTATACCCTCCCAACCCGAAGCCCTAAATTTACTAGTGCCCAGGGGGATGTTGAGAAGTGAAGAATACAGGGACTGCTATACGAGAGTATATTGGGATGATTATAGGGATCCACTCTCTGCTCCCCCTTAAGCACCAGCAAGTAACCGTTTATCCCCGCACCGCAGTAAGCATTCTGCATCTATCTTCGTGTGCAGGGTTCACACAGTCATGGTCTTTTTGAACACCCAATGTAGATAGTAGATACTAGGACCGTGTTATAATGGGGACCCGACCATAATTTTGACAACGTATGGGGAGTACTGAGTATGAAAGATGCGAGCTTCGGGAACTGGGCACTTTCCTCCTCGCACAAACTCTCCTCTGGGAATAAAAGCTGCTGTTTGAGTCATATGGGGCTTACCTTAGGGGAATCTGTGGTCTTCAAGGGGGCAGCTTGGCCTTGTGGTATCAAGGGAAGGAATGAGAGGAGGTGAAGGCACTTAGTAGATGGATTGGTTTTCGTAGTTTCTATGACTATACAGTCTGTATGCGGGGTATCTACAACTTATAGCCAGAGCTGCACATAAACCTAGAAGTAGCATGCCAGCGGCGGAGTACAGTGAGTACAGCGGCAGGGGGTTGCAGCTTAAACTTCACTGGTTGAAGTTGAGCCTGTTATGGCCAATTTTCGCGCTGCCCATGATTCTGTCAGGCTTGACCAACATAGCCGGACATTCAGTGATTTTGGAGCATTCATTGTGTCAAGCCTAACTCATACCTTCCTCGACAAGTGGCTGCCAATAACACTCGAATATGTGATGTTTGCATCGGCCACGCAGCATCGTGATATTATTCCGTTTTCTCATCAATGTTCATTACTATGAAGCATGCTTCTGAGTCAGGATTTCCACTGGCAAGCATATCGGTGATCTTTTTACTGCAGGCGTGCATTGTTTAAAAACAGTCCTGAGAGTCGAGCAGCTTCCTGAG